AAAATAAATAGAAATTTGTTATTCAATTCAAAATTTAAATTTCTCAAGAGACGAACGATAGATGTTTTGTATATGTGTTTCGGCCCTCAGATCTTCAAGTTTTTAAATCGAGAATAACACTGATTCTGCATCGCTTTTTAGCCTAACTTTTTAAAGTCACAAAATTAGGAATTAGAATATTACATACGGTTTATAAGGAAAATGTATCAGTATCGGTGGAATGGAATTATCTCCATAATGCCAAACTCCAAAGAATCCGATAGCCATAGTCATTGATGTTAGAATCGGCATCGCTGGAATCAAGCATTGAATTTAACATATATATGCAGACGCCTTTAGACTTAACCTTAGAGAAAAATCTTGTAAATTCTTAAAATTGTTTTGCTTTACACAGCAAAATTGTGGAATAAATTGTCGCTGGCGATATCTTCGAACCGATATGACCTTTAAACTATCAAGAAAAGAGCGTAGGTACTTCTTAATCAAGGCCATCGGCCACAAGCTTGTGACTCCTAGGTGTTATTGCTTTCCACGAGGTGATCCGTCTGCTCATTTGTCTTCAATTAGGTACATAAATTGAGGACGGTCCTCAACTAGATGGTCTGACCAGCTCAAGGACAACCCAGTATCGTATCGTCAGCGGTATATACGAACCGATACGACCTTCAAACCTTCAAGAAAAGAGCGTATTCCTTTTTAAAAGGCCAACAACACACCTGTGGCTCCTCTGGTATTGCGGGGGTCCATGGGCGGCGCTGATCGCTTGCCATCAGGTGATCCGTCTGCTCGTTTGCCTCCTATTCCATAAAAAAAAGTATCGAGGTTCCTGCACCACAATGCCAATGGCCGTAGACAGGAGTCGATGAAGACAATTCGTGCGATCCAGAGTGATGCCAGGACGATCACGATCCTCAGACACGAGGGAACGACCGGATAGAGAAATACATAAAAAAATCTACTTACTAAGTAGTATCACTCGATGAAATTCCCGAGGATTGTTCATATTGTTCTCGATTGGAAGAGCAATACTCGTTGTTTCTGATGCAAAAACGCAAATACCAATGAATTCAAAAACTCCCATTACATTTTTATAGCCTTTTCTGTCTAGGGGACTCTTTCTAGCATATTTAAAACAATACCACATTGTGCATAGGAGAACTGCTCCTGTAAATAAAAAAGATCTTTCATTAATACTGATAGAAAGAGCATCATCATCATATCAGCCTCAAGATGTTTACTGCTGAAGGTCAGTCCCTAGTGACTTCCAGATAGGCTGGTTGGAGATAAACTACATCCAACGGCTCCTTGTGACCTTTACCTCCTTGTAGGTGGACATTCGGCACTGCGATTACTAGTATGTGGCCTCCATCTTTGTTTCGGTACGTCGGATACACAAATGTTTCTGTTTTTTACGAATTCTCCATCATCAACAACCTGGTATGTTTATATTAAAACTTTCCTGAAATTAATTATTATTTTTTCGGCTTACTCACGTAAATATTTGACGAGGAACTCGAATAATTTCAAGCTATGTTAGAGGCTCATATTCATGAGCAGCATTCCGCGACACGCGACGCGGTGACTGTCGCGATGCTACTGGCTATTCGAGTCTGCGGCGGCGCGGGCCAAACGCGCCCTCTGTAGTGATTCACGCGCACATTCCGCTATTGGCGACGGCGGCGCGCGCGATTCATGAAAAATGAGCCAAAATATGTAACCAGTCGAGTGCCTCATCAAACAGTTTTAAGTCGAAAATATATTTTAAGTGCGTACTCACCAGCATAAAAGTTAGCAATGATAGCGAATGGAGCCAAATGCTTTAAATTGGTCACCATACACACAGCAGTGCAGGGTATCACCAAAGATATGATGTATACAGTCAATGGAGGATCTCCCTCATCACTGAGGCACCCCGTACCTTCGACCAGCTCCTTCAGGTTCCTCGCTATCATGACTACGAAGACACAACATGAACCGATACAATGTAATGCTATCGTAAGTTCCACTAAATGCCTGGAAATAATAAAACCAGCCTTAAGGAGTGTATGATTAACAATGGGCATTTAGGGTAAGTTCACCTCGCGTCCACCTACCAGCATGTTATGAAACGCCGTTTAAAAATTCCCAAAAAAATCAGTACCATATTATTAGTAGTTAGTACATAATATCTGTTTGATCTTACACGTTTTCAGTATCTTACATTCATGGGTATTAGTTAGTTGGACGCGAATAGCCGAATTTACCCCAATTCCAGTTTAGAAGATATTACTATATGTGGGTAATTAATATCTGGGGGCACGGCAGTGCCCCCGCCAAGTCGAGAGCGAAGCAAACACTGCCGTACCATCCTTTGCTGGAACCATTTTGCCGCATTTTCAGGCTCCTACTTGAGAACCTCTGAATAAGACCAGAACACAGAAATTTTTATCATCCAGTAAGCTATAACCACATACTTAAAATCCAAAATTTCAAGTCTACAGGTCATTTAGTTCCGAAGTTAAGCGAAAGCAAAGTTTCGCATTTATGACACTCACGATCATCAAAATAGAACTGGTACTTCCCATAACCTACCTAAAGGCTCTGGCAAATCTTCTCACACTTTGACAAGGACTTAAAAGCAATGTAGCTTCAGCCAGGTCCTGATAACTGAGAACTGGTACCTGGACACGACCATACATCTTTTGGGCAGACCATACTAGTATCTGAAACATTTTATCGTCATCGTTATCAGTCAGAAGATTATCAACAGCTGAAAATAAGTATGCCATAATCCTGTTGTCCTCGCTGCGTTGCGTGACTTAAATTTAAATTTATTTTCTATTAACAATTTTAGCTTGACGGGAAAACCCAACCCGCCTAGATACAGTCGCCAGCCGATCGACTCCAAGTGTATTTATTGGATTGGTTGACTGCTGGCGGTTGCCAGGATGTATGGTTTTTTAATGGGATAAGCTGGTAAACGAGTATACGGATCACCTGATGGTAAACAATCGGCGTCGCCCTTGGACACATGGAACATCAGAGGCGTTACAAGTAAGTTACCGGCCTTCTGAGGATTAGAAATTTGAGGATTGTTGTTGATTCAGGGATTGGGGAGATTGGGGAAAGGGGAGGGCGGTAATTGGGCCTCCGGTAACTGGCACTCACACAACGAAACATAACGCATGGTTTCACGTCGGTTTTCTGCTCGGCCGTGGCATCACTCCGGTCGAGCCGGCCCATTCGTGCCAAAGCATGGCTCTTTCAGACTTTAAATTTCATTTTATACAGGTAATCCAAAATTAAAATGTCTTAAGTCAGACTAGAGTCACCTCATTTGATGTTCTGAGTAATAAAAATCCTGTTTACTTACACAAGAGCAATATCCAACGAGGACGGCTAAAAGAACATTTAGGACAAGTCCAGTCCAAATACCGGACTCTCGGTAGGCCACATGCATATTATGGAAACCAGCGCCCAAACCAAACGTCAACATATGTAGTACGGAACCCACTAGTCTGTAAACAGGAAAACATATAATATACAAAATCGCAGTGAAATTCTCGAAGGAGTATGTTGCTACTATCGTCCATTGCAGTTTTGCTATAATGCGAGTACAGCAGAGGCGTAAGTCAAAGTCAAAATCATTTATTTCAATCAGACCAGGAAGGCACTTTTGAACGTCACAACAAAATATTTAAATATTAAATAATAAGAAAAAACGTATCAGTCTGTAGGTCAGTCCTCTAGTGAAGCTATTACGTATTATCCCTAAGGCAAACTAGGCACTGCGGTCGTGGTGGCCCGGAGGTTTACGACGCCCGCTTCTCATGCATTAGGGTGCGGGTTCGAAACCTACCATCGGCAAGTACCAATGTGACTTTTCCGATATGTACTTTCTAAAATTATTCAGACACCACTGACAAACAGTGAAGGAAAACATCGTAAGGAAACCTGGACTTATATTTTCTAATTATAAGTTTGTAATCGCCGCATTGAGCAAGCGTGGTTATTAATGCTCAAGCCTTCTCCGTGTGAGAAGAGGCTTTGCTCAGCAGTGGGCAGTTATAGTCTGTTGATGAATGAAACTAGGCAAGTCCCAAGGTCACCAGGTTTCAGAGAGGAGCTGCGAGATAGTTGGCGCAGTAGTTGGGTGACCGGCTGCAGCTGCTGTCAGTGATACTGACATTTTCTGAGTAAATTAACCATTATTAGCCCGAAGTCAGGAAGTTCCGCAGTGTTTCATCCCCAAGCCCCGGAAAGCAAGTAAAGCCGTTGGTCCTGCGCCTCACTTATCTTCGGACGTGTCGGTCTGCCGTCCCATTTCTGTCGTCATTCAGAGAGTGAGGGAACAGAGTATGCATCTAAGTTCACGCACACACTTGTACACTGTAATATCATGAGCTATCTGCGTAATGGGCTGGTTAGACGGGCCAGCATGATCGAAAACGATCGGGAGATATTATTATATTATTATTTGGCAACACGACAAATATGGGAAACCCTCAAGTTCAGCAGTAGTTTTACTAAAAGGTTGTTTCATAACGAGGCAGTCTAACAAGATATTTTGTTCCAAAGATAGGTATTATGATAGCCGCGGAAGGCGGGTTACCGGGGCTCTGGTTCGAAGATCAGTAGTAGGAATAGGATGGTTTGTATTCAGTAAGAGTCTGACACTCCCTCTCGCCTAACCAAAGGCGGGAGAACACATTGGATGATATTCCTCCCTCAAAAAAGACAGACATTATGAAAGTAAAGAGAGGAATTATGTACTTACCCATTAGGCCTGGGCAGGTTAGTTCTAGCAGCACGAAAATCATAATATAAAGCTTCTTTGGGATTGTTCTGCTCGGTAAACCTGGCCGGGGGACCGAAGTCATCAAGTTGGGCTGGGATCTGTCGAAAACATTAATACTTATTTTTATATTTATCTCTTTTGAGTACCAGATCGTTTCTTGGGTAAGTACAATGTGTAATTGAAGTATGACATAATATAATCGCCTTTTATCCCCGAAGGGGTAGGCCGTTGCCTCACACTTGGATTTTCTCCTGTGTCGTGGGTGCGTTTACAAACATACAAGTTCACATACATAACTTTATTACGTAATGATATGATTTTTAACTTTAAAAACCTACCGTCATAACTGGGTCTGAAGTTTTCTCACTACGTTCTGGTTCTGTTTTTTTTATATCTTCCACGATGTAAACTTGTGTGGCTCTCGACTTCATTGTGTTTCTGCTTATGTCCTTATCAATAAAGCTTGATGTCACTTTAGCTGGCAGGTTTCTTGACCATGATTAATAGTTAATTTAGTTCCGAAACGAGCATAAAATGATTTCTTTAGTTGCTATCTAAAAACCAACAGTAAAATATTTTTTTTCACCTTCCAAGAACCAAATTCTGCTCTTTCTACATAATATTTCTACAAAATCATTTAATATCACTAAACAAAAGTTGTTGATTTAAATGAATTATAACAAATAATGTTAAGTTTTAATACAAAACTTAATAAAATGAAATAAATATCTTCAACAATAATGTAATCGTAAACATTAACAAAAATGACTCAGGGCCGTCACACTTACAGCCATTGACAGCTTTAAAAATCGGACCGTCAGCTACATCTAGTTTTCGAACCTGAAATTAAATGTTGTCAAAACTTTTTTTTTGTAGTCAAAACTAATATTTTCAGTGGCCACACAGTTCCAACCAAGGTTGCAACATTATTTCAAAATTTAGGGTTAAAATAATATTTTTTGGAAATAGTACAATAACATTATACACATTTATTTAATACTATATTGCAATTTTTACAAAATAATTCCTTAAACTTAGATCAAATGACAGTTATGCTGGCATAATCGTTCAAAGATGACGGCCTTTTTACTAATAAAGAGATTAAAAAGATATCAAGTGATGGATGACAAACTAAACT